ATGAAACCTGATATTAGCTTGGCTTTGTTTAATTACTAATATTATTTACTTTGTGATAACTGACTAACCTCAATTAACACTGTGAATTGTTTGCCCTGTAATGATGAGATATTCCATTATATTATGTAAATTATTTGTATAGTGATTATGATTTAATGTTATTGGTAATTAGAATTATTTGCCTGCTGGTAATGCTGTATAAATGATCTCTCATTAATCAGAGGGTGCACCTTACCAAGAGTCCTAAAGAGAAAAGCAGTAATATGATGTCACTTAACTACTGGCCATTGTTCAACCCTTGTTTTACATTTGAGCAAATGATTTCTGTATTTATCGAGCCACTTGCTGATCATTGTGAGAAAAGTATATTTTGGTAAACATATTTCTAGGTTATTGTGATGTTAAAAAACACCAAACCCATCAGTCAGCTACCTGGTAGCTTGGGGTCACTATCATCAACATACATCATAGCTAAATTATGAAATTTGCTAATCATATTTTCTCCATAATAAATTTGTAACTTGAGGTCAAATGTTACCTTGTTGCCAAAAATGAAGTTCATATTCCAAACTACAAGTTAGGACTCATACAGTTAACAGCTCACTCCAAAGAGAAAAATGTTCCACTCCAAAGCACAGATGGGAACAGCAGCATAGCCAGATCCTATAATCATGAAGAGAATTTCCTTTTTCTTCCTCACCATGAAGATTACAGTTGAAAGAGGTCAGCTCTCTTTCTATTCATTTCATTGCCCGGACCTGTTCCAGAGAGCACTCCTTCAAACCATCTCCTGGTCATTTTCCTATACCTGGTGGATCCATGAAGCAAGACTTCTAGCAACTTTGTGTTTAATTGTTGAGAAGTCAGATCCACAGAAGGTCCATTATGTCCTTTCCAGCTGTGACAAGGTTTTTACTTTGTATATTGACAAAGTGTTGCTTTTACTGATTGAGCATAACAGACTGAAACTCTGGGAAAAGTCAGAATGAAGAGGTGCCCAACTGAAATAAGAGCCATGGGTAATGGTTCAGTTTGCTTAGTGCTTTAGTATCCCAGACCCCAAAAGGCATTACCAGTGTACTCAGTATACTTCATATTGGAGGGGTTTCAGATACAAGGCCCTACAATGTGCTAGAACTGATGGGCTCCAATAGCCATTCACACATGTCTGAATTGGAAGAAATTAGTAATGGCAGCTAGAAAGAGCAAGGCTGGAAATATTCTAAGTCACTGGTACCCAACCCTTTGGCCCTGCAGGCCAGATAAGTGATCCAAAGCTAGTCCATGGGCCAAATGGAGCCCTGTGTGCCAGGATGAGGCCTAGAGGGTAGGCATTTCCCCCTCCTCCTGGGATTGGTCCTCAGGGGTCCCAGCATTGCCCCTCCTGCCCCCTTCCACCAGGATTGGGCCCTGGGCCCTCAGCACCACCCCCCTCTGTCGCTATGCAGCAGGATTGGGCCCTGGGGGGCCTAGCACCACTCCAGTACACCAGGAGTGGGCTTCGGAGCCCTGTAGCCACTGTATTCTGCTAGAATTGGGCCCTTTGGACCTGATACTGTCTCCCTACCCATAAGGATTGGGCCCTGGTGCCCAACACCATCTCCAGCCAGCCCAGCACGTTGGGATCATCCAGCCCACAGGGGCTGAGACTTCCCATGGGCCTGGAAATTTGGCAGTGAATTTGCAAACCCATGGAGAACCCTGTGGGCCAGATGGCATGGCATCATGGACTAGGGATTGAGCTAGGTACACTGCTTTAAACAATATCAGCTCCAATGAGAAACAAGAGACATTCTTATCTAGGACACTGCAACATATACCAATAGAGTTATAAAGCATAAAGGCTTAGTACCTGGCCTTCCCTCTCCAATTCAGTCTTCTATATTTAAAGGAAGTAGAAACTTACATTTTTCAGGCCAGAAAAAGATAATGATTTAGGACTAGATCTAATAAGGGACTCAAGCACCTTGAAACCCCCCACCTCTACATGCACCCTCTTTAGATGCCAGCTATTCTGGAGGAACCTAAACTCACTCCTGTTTGTCCGTAAAGTACTCTAGATGTGATGAGTTCTGCTTATGCCAAGAACTACTCCTTATGAGCCAAAACCTATCTGAATCCAGAAGGCAGGCAGAGGAATACATAAGTCCCTTCAAGAGTCTGATCTGGCAGGCTCTTGCTGACCATGCTTAACACACGCTGACAGAATTGGGCTTCCCATAAAATGCAGTAGCTGTCACTATTTTGGGTCTGTGATGGTGCTGCCCATATTTTTTATAGTAATCTAGCATACAGGCTAGTAATCATTTGGAGTGAAGGGGAAGAGAGAGGGCGCTTTAATGGAACTTAGCTCAGAGTGCTAAGTCACTGTCACTGCTTTCCCTGCCTCTGCAGTCACTCTTCCCTCAACAGTGCCCCTGCCACCTCCCTCATCACCTGCTGCCTGAAGGTTCCCCCATGAGTGAAGCCCCTTCCCTACCTCCACTGGCTGGACAAAATGGCTCTTTGGGTTGAATCTGTCCCAGGAGCTGTAGGTTGCCAACCCCTAAACAAGTGGATTAGAGCATTCACCTGGGAAGTGAGGGCACCTATACACAAGCATGGAGACTGCTCTTACTGGAATTCCAGTGTGTAGGAGCAGACTCAGCTAATCAAGCCTCCTGAAGCATGGTAATTGCCACGCTCCAACAGCTCCTGTGTCTCATGTATCAGTGTCTCCACGCTTACAAATGGTGGCAGGGGCACTTGAACTAAAGCTCATAAAAGCTTTAGTTCAAGCACTTCCACTGCCATTTTTAAGCATGGGGATGCTGATACAGGATACACAGTGGCACTTTAATTAGAGTGGCTATCATAACAAAAGTCAGCATGGCTTCTGCCACCACAGTGATCTTTTTGTAAAAATGGATGTAGACACTTCAGGAGGAGCTTATAGATGGTGGATCCTGAATGCCTTCCTGCAGCCCAGAGATAAGTGCCTAAACACTGAAAGTGGTAGGATCCAGACAGAATTTTCATTGACTAGCTATGCAGCTCAGTTGGCTGGCTGCTTTGGATCCTATTCAGAGGCACTAACTCTTCCTATGAACTGTACTTGAAGCTTACATGCCTAAGTCAAAGTTATGGTCTCCATGCCATCACAGATCAGTGTGTAAGACATTAATGCTTAACAAATTCATTAGGCATGGAAAACGTACCAGCAGCTAGTAAATATGTGGATATCTGTATGAAAACAGGATGTGTGCCAAGTGTTCAGAAAAACAATGCTTTGGTATAGCTACAAGAGTAAGGAGCTGCAATAAGGCCAAAAATCATCATGAGACAACCTTGCACTTTCAGGTTTAGTTATGGATTTTTCTAATATGAACAAAATAAAACCAGACTACTAAACCTCTGGTCACATTCTTCTCACAGTCTTTAACTATTCAGCAGACAAGTACATATAGGGCTCCTGACATTATCTTGCTAGTAAGACTGCCTCCCTCTTCTGTCTTCTCACTGGGTTAGCCAGGATGTGGCTAAATCATTTAAACTTAGTTTTAGTCTCTTAGCGGGTGCATCTACATGTGCATTAATGTGCCTTTTCTAATGTACATTACATTTAGTACTTCCAATATGAGGGCACTTTTACACATGCTCTGGGGGTGGGGGTGCTTTAATTAGAGAAGCTCTCAGAGCCTCTGTAAGTGCCACTGTGCTTTGTGTATCAGTGTCCCCATGCTTAAAAATGGTGGCGGGGGCACTTGAACTAAAGCTCATTCAATGAGCTTTAGATCAAGTGCCCTGCTGCCATTCTTTAAGCATGGGGACACTGATACACGAGATGCAGGAAGCTGCTGAAGTGTAGCAATTGCCATGCTCCAGCAGAATCAATTACTCAAGCCTGCTCTGATGTGCTGGAATTCTAGCATGTCAGAGCAGCCTCTGCGCTCATGTGTAGGTGCCCTGAACAAGTGGATTAGAGCATTCACCTGGGAAGTGAGGGCACCTATACATAAGCAGGGAGGATGTTCTTACTCCACGCATGTGTAGGTGCCCTGAGGTACTGAATTAATACACATTAGGCTGTGCTAATGCACTGTAGTGCATTTACAGGCTTTTTTGCAGGCAATAGAGCATTTTACTGCATATTGGTGTAATATCACTGTTTTTTACTTGACGCTTTAATGCATAGTAAAATAGTCTATTGCACATTAAAGTGCATTTGTAGACATACCCAGTAGGCCACTGCACTGCTCCATGTAGCCATACCCCAGAGCAGTGGTTCTCAACCCATTCATTCCTCTAGATTTCTGACATCCCTCCTTCCCTCCCTCCCAGTTCTTCCACACAGTACCAAAGCACCCTGCCACCCCAAACGGCTGTCTGCTACTACTACCAACATCCCCCAAGCCCATGAGCAATCCATAGTTTACCTCCCTCATCACCTTTTGTCAAACATGTTGCAGAGATGCAGAAATAGCTGTGCACATACTAGCTCCAAAGAGGAAACAGCATTACAGCAGTTCCACTGTTTCTCATTTGGGATATAGTATGTACAGAGCAGCCCAGTGTCTCAAAATAATATAAATTTGTGGGAGGTAGGGGTGTACTGATTCACTTCAGTTCTTTTGTGTCTGCCTTTGTGGGCCACCAACATTACCTCTGTAGCTCACTGTTTGAGAACGGTTGTGCTATGGTTCCTGTTCTTCCATTTTATCCAACTGGTGTTTTAGTTAAAACAGGTAAACAGTGCTTGGAGCAGAGACTAGAACATGAGACTTCTTTCTCATAAGCAAGTGCCCTGAACGCTAGGCAATGGTCACGGTATCCCAGGAGATATTTGGTACGGATGAATAAACCTTGTACTGAGGAGGGAATTGAATCTGGTCCCACACATTCAGGGCAAGCACTCTGACCAGTAGGTAATTATATAATAAGTCACCTTCTCCCCCCATTGTGTTTTAAAAGAAAAAAGCAGTACTTGCTTGGTTTTGCAAAGAAAGGACAAAGGCACTTACATTTAGAAGAATGCTCCAGCTGTAGATCTCAAGGACACAAATGCCCCTTTCTGTGCTTTTACTGAGTGAAGCATGTGGGGACGCAGAGAAGAACTGAATGAAAGGCTTACCCTTGTACTCATTATTTCCTGCTGCCTAGTTCTAGGTAGTGCTCTGCTGAGTGGGTTGGATATTTAGCATCTCTTTCAGAGGCACTCAATTCATCCCATGCACTGTCCAGAGAGCTGAGGTGCACACACACTGGTTGTGGATTATAACTTCAGGAACCAGGTACCTAAGCCTTTTTTTCTTTTTTTGGATCCAGCCCTGAGTGTCTAGCCAAAGATCACATGGGAAATCTATGACCGAGATAGGAACTTCAGATTTTCTCAGGTCCTATTTAAGTGCCTGAACTACACGGCCATTTTTTCTCCTTCACAGCTATGAACTTAAGTAAGATCAGCTGTACCTGATTATTCCATTACAAGGCAGACAACAGATTGTTTCTCCCAGAAAAGGAAGGCTTCTGAGATGAGATCCAGGGAATCTGGTTCAAAAAACTGTGCTAGGATTTAATTATGACATTTCTAGTGTTAATGGACCATTAGTCCTGACATATTATATTGGCTGTGACAATAATCCCCACAAAGCTTTCCACTCAACCCAGCCCTTATTCAGGTACTGCTATAATATTGAAATTAGAGTCACTACTAACTTTGACTTGACTCTTACCTTAGACTACATATAACATTAAAACACCAACAGGCCAAATGACTTAACCATGCTACAAGCAAATAAAAATTAAAGGATCAAAATAAATACATGTAACCAATAGTACTGAATATGTCACTTTAACAATAGGCACTTTAACCTTTGCTATTTATTTAAAATTCTGAAAGGGAAGGTGCTTGCTACAACAAATTCAAATGATTTGGTCATAGCAGGTTCTGAAATTTCATGGATTGAGAAATTGTTTTACATAGGTAAACATACAGTTCACTTGCCCTGTTACCTGTTACATAGGTTTTACATACAGTTCACTTTGCCTGTTACCTATTTACCCTATTCAAATACTTTGAAGAATTTGTAAGGAACAGTGTTACAGATGACTTTTACTTAAAAATAAAACAAAAAATAGACTGAAACTTAGCAAGCCAGAAAACGTGTGCAAAAGAATATCAATGGGAATAAAAAGTCTCTTTTAATATTTTATTAAAGGAAAAAACAGAATCACGAATATTATTTTTAATTTTGGTCACCTGAAAAGATTATGAACCATCTTGGTTTGCACTCAGAAAATTAAACACAAAGAGCAGTCATTTATATTAGAGAGAAATGGAAAATAATGCAACAGTTTAACATGATGAAGGATTTTATACATTTAAAAGGCTAATTGATGATAGATCAATGCAAATAAATATGGAATATGGATTACTTTGATGAGTTTTTATGTGCTTTGTGTGCTTTATAAAATTTGAACTATCAAAAAGCCTAGTAAAAGATTCAGATGAAGAGTCTGTAAGTATTATTAACGAATGATGAAGAACAGAAAGAGTAAAAAATGAATTTCAGTGTTTCTGATAAGTCCTTTGCACAAGACTGTATATTTCATAAAATATGAAGAATTATATAGTTACAGGTAAATGGCAGGACTGTATGTATCATGATATACTGCAAATCTGGCAGCTAGCTCTGGCTAAGCAAATAATAATGCTAATTTTTCATAGTTAAAACCAGATGAGTGTTCTCTCTTGTAACATATTTTTTGCCAGAAAAGGACATTACATGTTTTTTATCTTCTTAGATGAGTAGGAAACAGTTGCATTCTAATTACATGACTTTGCTGAGGTGATTCTGTGGTCATGTTTCTATCGCCCCTAGTCTGTGCTAGGAAGCAACCTTAAGCACAACATGCACGCTCAATGCAAGCTAGACGTACTAGAGCAGGGGCGGGCAATTATATGAGGTGGAGGGTCACTTACTGAGTTTTGGCAAGCCATCGAGGGCTGCATGACAGGCAGCCAGGGGTAGAGAAATATTAATTTTCTAAATTTTTTAGGGGCCTCACGGGCCGGATAGAATGGCCTGGGGAGCCGCATCTGGCCCACAGGCTGCATTTTGTCCGCCCCTGTACTAGAGTCATAGATTTTCATATATTTCATAGACATTTGGGCTGGAAGGGACCCTGGAGGATCATCGAGTCCAGCCCCCTGCCCCAGGGGCAGGAAGTCAGAAGGGATCATAAGAGCCCAGCAAGATAAGCATCCAAATGTATCTTGAAGGCATTCAAAGTGGGTGCTTGAACTGCCTCCGGCGGCAGTCTATTCCAAACCTTGGGGGCTCGGACAGTAAAGAAGTTCTTTCTTATGTCCAGCCTGAATTGGTCATGGCAGAGTTTGTGACCGTTTGATCTTGTCATCTCTTGGGGTGCTCTGGTGAACAGATGTTCCCCCAGATCCTGGTGAGCACCTGATAAACCTACAGGTGGCCACCAGATCACCCCTGAGCCTGCGCTTTTCCAGGCTGAAGAGTCCCATGGCTCTCAGCCTCTCAACATAAGGTCTGTTTTCCTTGCCTCTGATCATGCGTGTGGCTCTCCTCTGGACTCTCTCAAGCTTCTCCACATCCCTTTTGAATTGTGGAGCCCAAAACTGGACGCAGTACTCCAGCTGCAGCCTCACCAAGGCTGAGTACAAGGGGAGAATGACATCCCGGGATTTGCTTGAGAAGCATCTATGGATGCAAGCCAGCATTTTGCTCGCTTTACTAGCTGCAGCATCACATTGAAGGCTCATGTTCATCTTGTAGTCAATCATGACCCCCAAGTCCCTTTCATCTATAGTGCTAGCCAGCGTAGCAGTGCCGAGCCTATAAGCATGCTGCAGGTTTTTCCTCCCAAGGTGGAGAACCTTGCATTTGTCTGTGTTAAACACCATCAGGTTCTTATCCGCCCATTTCATGAGCCTATCAAGATCCGCCTGGGTTACCCTCCTGTCCTCAGGTGTGGATGCTTTACCCCAGAGTTTGGTGTCATCGGCAAACTTGGCCAGTACACTTCTGACACCAATGTCCACATCATTGATGAAGATGTTAAATAGTATAGGCCCTAGGACAGAGCCTTGAAGGACCCCACTGGTCACAGCACACCAAGACGATTGGCTCCCATTGACCACCACCCTCTGGGTCCTACCGCAGAGCCAATTCCCCAGCCAGTGGATTGTGGTGAGATTGAGGCCGCAGTTAGCCAGTTTAGCCAAGAGGTGATTGTGGGATACCAGGTCAAAGGCTTTTTTAAAGTCGAGATACAATGTTGATCTCTTCCCCCTTGTCCAGGTGACAAGTCATCTGGTCATAAAAAGATTAGGCTGAACTGTGAATATTGATTTCAATTAAGGTCAGATATAGGATTTTATTCTGAATCAACCTTTAGCACAGAAAAACTCTGGAAGAATCATCCTACTTCATGGGTCCTTATGTGATGTGGCACAGAGACATGAGGATGCAGAGAGTAATAATTAGAATAAGTCCATCTGCATGAGGAAGGTTGTTTTCCTTATTACTAATCATGTATATTATGGTAGTCCCTGAAGACCAACCAAGATTGGAGCCCTTTCTATATGGCATGCTACAAATACAGGGTGCATTCAGATGACCCGTCTGAGACACTGCACGCTGCACATGACACACATGCAGACATTCCCCATTCAGTGCTGGGAGGGGGGGGGGGGGGAAGACGAAGAGCAGGCGCCCCCCCTTTGTGGTGGGGGGGGGGGGGGTGAGAGTTAACACTGGGAGATCCCCGTGTCAAAAAACTCCATTCCTTAAAAAAGTGGGGTGGTGAATGTGGTGGCAGCGTGCACTGCCAGGAACCAGAGCCTGGCCAGCCAGAGCCATGCTCCAGCTGCCAGCCAGGCTTCATGCTGTCAGACTGCTGTGGCTGCAGCCCCTGGAGGCCCTCAGGACCCCAAGTTAGGTTGCTGGGGCCAGCCCAGGTACTGGCCCCAGCCTCCCCTACCCCACCCAGGGCAACATGCCACACTCCAGAGCGTGTGTGCACGGGTGTTTCCCAGGGACAAGCAGCAGCAGTACGTAGTGCGCCAGTGCACTTTATCCCCAGGGAAACATATGTTCCCTCTCTAGGGGATGTGCCCATAGAGTCCAGACAGAAGATGATGTTCATTAAATTTCAGGAATTCATCAAATTGCATTGTGGTGTGGTATAAAGCTGTACATTTGTAGCACGCTGATGTTAAATTTCATATAATGTATATATACACAAGTTCATTTTTTATCCATCTTCCATGTCTTACTCTATTTTCTTTCAGACCATTATCCCCTGAGGCACTGAAAGATTTTCAGTCTTTAATCACCAAAACACCAGACTCAAAATTTGCTTACAATATCATTTCTGCCATGTTTAAAAATAGAATGAACACATACATGGTTTATAACACCATGAGTACTTGCATGATTGTAGTATTATACTCACTGCCCTACTTACCTAATTTTTAGAGGTTAAAGCTCTGAGAGGACAGTTCAGCATCCTGTGTCCAGCAACAGTCCTCTTAGTGTAGGACCTTAAGAAGGTGGCTGTGCATCACCTTTGTCCTGCCAAAAAATTCCAAGGATGCAGAGAAAGGTAGGGTACATTAGTCCTACTTGTAATTCAGAGCAGCGACCGTGTCAGCTGGGATTTATCTTTGCTAGAAAAATACTCAGTTTCCTTTTGCAGACCTTTTCAACTCTCTAGCGGCCAAAAGGGCAAGTGTTCATCAGGATCTGATTCCTTGATCTTTTTCTTGTACTTTAACTCTGGAAAGAATATAGCTTCTTCTCACAAGCATCTCTTAATACCTGCTGCTGTGGAAACTTTATGATCCTAATGGTGCTTTTTGTTTTTTCTTGGTGGTCCCTTTTGTTATTGGGACTTGTCTGTAACAGCTGAGATACCTTATCATCTTCTCATTCATAGTAGGCTCCGATTCCTTCTCATTCATAGTAGGCTCCAATTCCTTAATTGCCATCCTGCTCCAGTCCACAATTTTTAAAAGACAAGGTAAGGGCCCAAATTTCTATTAATAACCAGCCTTCTGACAATGCAGTTGCTTGTTCCATTCTGTATATTATAGTAGAATACGGCTGCATAAATTGTATGGTACTTTTCCTAATTGCCTGTAACAAAGCTCTTTTTGTTGGATAATAGTGTCTAGGAAGTAATGTATAAATTTAAAACATCTGATGTTATGAGGAATATATTAAGCACAAGATGTCGAAAAGAAAGAAGAAATCTTGTTCA